CAATGCCCATGTCATACAGTGGCGCATTTATTAGGCACTGCAAACGGCTCAGCGCCGAAAGTCACAATATCTAACATTGTTGAACGAAATAACAAGTGAACTTTCTGGACCCATCACCTGTCCGTTTGCAATGTCGCTTTAGAGTAGTATGCTGCCTAAGGACTGGAAGCAGGCTGTTGCCTGTTCCGTCTTTAAAAAGAGCGACAAGCATTTACCTACGAATTACAGACCTGGGAGTTTAACGAGCGTTCGGATCAAAATGTTAGAGATGGAGTGGCAAATAATTTTGGAGACATTTGGTCCACTCAGTCCGTTGCAGCATAGCTTTCGTAAAGGCTGACAAAATTATTGATGTCACGAGAACGGTAGGCGGACTCTATCGACAAGATCGTGCTGTGGATGCTGTTTTCATAGACTTTGCTAAGGCATTTCATATCGTCCCGCATTCTCGCCTTTCATTAAAGCTGCACTCATATGGAATATCTGAACAGGTACTTCGATCGGTTAACTGCCCAGTCGCTTGCACAGTTCGTCAACTTGCTACGCCAGTCCACAAACATTGCCATGATATCGTCTCGCGTCGTGGCAAGAGTTATCTCAAATTCCCTGTTTTTCGCCGATGACGTCAAGACATGGCGGGCGATTAGTGAGAAGGCAGATCACGATCTGCTCCAACATGACCTAGATGGTATTTACGAATGATCAAAGAGGAACATGCTTCAAATAACATAGCTAAGTGTAAGGTGATACATCTGCGTTACCAGCCGATGAGCGCTCACAAGCTTAGAGACCACACCTTGGAGAAGGTCTCTCAGGAGCGTGACCTGGGTGTATTGGTACAGGATCTCGGGTGTTCAAAGCAAGCAGATAAGGCGACGAGAACCGGCAATCAACACTTCGGCCTTCTTCGAAGAGTCTTCGGTCGGTTTGAACCCTCAATCTTTCCCCAAATGCTTAACACCTACCTGCGACCTCACGTGGAATATGCTATTCAGGCGTGGCAGAAACAGAATCTTGTTGCTCTCGAGACTCCTCAACGACAGGCAACCAAGAACGTCAGAGGCCTTTTCCATCTGCCCTATCAGCTTAGACTGAAATCTCTAAGAATGTGCAACAGTCGACATGGGCTTTTGCGGGGGGATCTCATATTGGTTTACCAAATTGAAAAACCCAAACCACATTTGCCGTCCGCTGCTGGAATTGAACCACAACACTAACATAAGAGGTCACCCTCTGAAACTGACAATTCAGTATAGCCGGCTTGAATGCCGTAGAAATTTCTTTTCCCTCCGCGTGTGCCAGCCTTGGAGCGCCCTCCCTAATAATGTCGTCTATGCTCCCAATCTGGGGATATTTAAAAAAACGAGTTGACGATGCACTGTCTCACTTACATTTCATTTTATGACTAGTTGGTCTGGGGCTACAAAATGCAATCAAACGGTGTTTTGCCAAACTCCCAACAAATGGATTTATACGTTTAATACGCGAACATCTCCGCTATTCTACATAAGTCTATGGTGAGTCCACCAAAACGCTTTTCACTTTGTCATGTAATGCACTTTCGCAATAATTTTTATCCCACAGGACTTGTTAAGCAATCCCTTCTTATCCGTAATAAACCATCGTTCCATAGTTCATTCCACTTCCTGTGACCGGTGTTATTGTTTAGAAGCACTCATTCCACGCCGGAGTCTATGCGCCGATGAACATGATTAAAATGCGAAACCGAGTACGCTATTCTCAGATTACTATCTTGTCCTTATCCTCCCCGTATTGCTTAGGCGTAACCATGAAAGGCAAGTGCTGGCATTGCAAACCAAGTTGGATAGAAGTGGTCAGTCTAACCGCCATCGAATCGGCTTTGCTCGTTGAATTCATTGCGGCACGACGCCCCGAGGACACCATTTACCCGTGCACCATTTAGTCTAGAAATCCGTAATAACGGTGAAAAGTTATATTCATGTAAACAACATAAAATAGTGAGATATACGTCAACGAACAAGATGTTTAACGTTCTGCTTGTAGTGCAGAAATCGCCTGAAGCAACTGGCCAGAACCTTTTGCAAAGTTTTACTGTTGATAGCACGACATTCGTTGACAATCCGGTCCGTCAGTTGTTCCAGTGAAACAGGCGTTGTCTTGTATACTCTCCGTCTCAAATAACCCCATAGGAAAACATCTAAGGGGCTCGAATCTGGTGATTGGGGAGGCCATTGCATAAGACCAGAGCGACCAACCCACCAGCGACCGAACATCTCGTTTGTGCATAATGGGCAGGTGCGCCATCATGTTGCCACCAAATGTTGCTGGAAACACCATAAGCCTGCAGCTTCGGATTTACGCAGGCCTGTAGCAATTCTTTGTAGGACGATGCTAGAAAAGGTATGACATTAGTACATTAAGAATCATCATCATCAACAGCAGTACATCAGCCATTTGAACTGATGCTTCGCTGCCATACAACCATGAGGACCTATGAAATAAAGCATAAGAAGAGGGAGAGAAGGAGGACTTACCTGAAAACCTTAATGCCCTAAGCAAAATTCACAGTCAAGGCGCCTACACCTTGTGTAGACAACATACCGTCACAAACAGCTGGCTATGGTGCAAAGTTAAGGCGGCATCGGCGAGACAGCTTCCTTGCGGCTTTCACTGCCACGCGTCATAATCAACCATTACCCCGCAGATAACTCAGCACCAAACACACTTTAAACAGACAATCCGATTACGAGACATCAGCAGATGCGCCACTGGTGTCGGTTGCGAGCCATTTCCTGTAAAATCTCGAGCCAAGTACAAGGTGAGTCACGTGGACTCCAACCGGGAAGGCGAGACGAACCAACGGCACCTAGTTTGGTCGTCAGTGACTTCATTTCCCGCTGCCAAGTCAACTTCTGTCCACCTCGAGTCTTGCGCCATCCTACACCTGGTAGACTGAACAAGGCCCTCCTAGGTAAGCGGTGACCAGGCATACGTAGCACGTGTCCGAGCCAACGCAACTTATTCAGTGCTATCTGTTGTTCTAGGGAGCTAGCATGAGAATCACCTCCTAGTACTCGCCTACGCACATCATCGTTGCGGGCACGCTGGTGCCATCCGACACCAGCAACGCTTCGCAGACAACGATGATCAAAGACTTGAAGGCGCCTCAGATCTTCAGACCGAAGGGGCCAAGTTTCACTACCATAGAGCAGAACCGCCCTCACTGTGGCCTTGTATACACAGCCTTTCAGACGAAGGGAAACTCCCTTCTGTCACCAAAGATGCTGCAGGTTCAAGAAGGCAGCTCTGGCTTTTGCAATGCGTGAGCTGACGTCAGTTTCTATGCGCCCATCATTGCTGATGCAGCTGCCAAGATAAGTGAATTGATCAACCACCTCGAGTTCCTCGTTAGTAAGGGTCAAGGGGTCATCAAGTGGCTGGTGGTCCTGCAGCAACCCTTTGCACTTTGAAGGTGCGAAGTGCATACCGAATAATGGGACCACTCTGGATAGGCGATTCAGGGTTGATTGTGCCGCCTCAACATTGTCGAAAAGCTAGACGATATCGTCCGCATAATCCAGATCAACTAACCTTTCACCAGGCAGCACTTCAACGCTTACGTCGTGAGATTCCGCAAGGGAACACTCCATGATAGAATCCATGACGAAATTGAACAAAAACGGGGAAATCGGACAACCCTGACGAACGCCACTTGTAGTCGGAAAGCTATCCGATAGGACACCATAGACCCTGACGCGGCCTGTAGCGTTCGAGTATAGAGCACGAAGGATGTTCACACATTTCGTGGGAACACCTTTTCGCGCAAGTAATTCGAACAGAATCGATCGATCGACTGAATCGAACGCACTCTTAATAGTACATTAAGAAGGTAACTTGCTGGTCACATTACTGGAAAAGAAAAATGGTTCAACACTTTTTTGACCAGTTAGCCCAGCCCAAATTATTATCTTGGGACTATGTTGCATACGGGAAGCTACGCAGCGTCGTGGATTTGATGTCGTCCAAAAGTGATGCTTATGCATTCCGTGCAAGTGGAATATTGCCTCATCGGTGAAAATAATGGAGTGAATATCCACCTGATTCAAGAACCAGCTGCAAAATGCAAGCCGCTTCTCCGGATCGCATGGGTCCAACATTTGCACTTGACATGCACCATACCGACGAAATTTTCTTTCCTTCAAAATCAGATGCACTACGTAAGAGGTGATGTCATAATTTTTAGCAATTGTACCAACGCTGAGGTCCGCCCTTTCGATCACTTCGCGGATAACAGCACTAGCTGAACTTTCATCCGTTGTGGTGCGAGGCCGCCTCGTAATTCGGGCGTTGCACACAGCACCAGTGTTCTAGAACTTCTTCACCAGTTTTAACACATACCGTCCGTCGACAGGCCTCATTCCCGAGGTTATGCTATTATACCTTCTCGCTGTCTCGGCAGCATTAAGCCCACACTCGCAATATAATCGAAGCATCACCACGCGCTGATCATCAGCGACTTGACGTAACTGAGGTTACATAACGTTCACCGAAGTGACTGTATCCTCGCGTTTCATCGCTGAAAAAGTAACCCAATAACAAAGGAAGATTACCATGTGCCTAAAGTTATCTGGCAAATCTAGCCAATTTCCGGACCGCAATTTCTCGCCTGTCTGTCCACCACTATGAATGCCATCATTGACCTATGGGCTACCAGTTATCAGAGCAGAGAGAAATTCCTATCCGAGGTACACAGGTTTACGGTTAAGCACACCGCTCCGATTGGATAGCCTGACAACGAATGCAAATTATCTGTCCCTCATAGAAACGCGTGTCGTGATGAATTGGATTGAGCTCATACGGCAATCCGTCCCGCTTTTCAAATCGTACTGTATGTAATATAATCAATTTTGTCACACTGACTAGACATCCTTTCATTATCATCAGACGTTGAAACGTTTGTGATCTCTTGATTCTACAAAACTGCGCGCGGCGGCAGACCTATGTTTTCGAGTGTTTATTGAATTACAAGACGATGGTCTACTGTGGGTATCAGCGTAGGTGGGTAAATATGTCTTCCGGGAAAGAGAGAACATATAGCTCAAAAACATAATTCTGAAAGGCTTACGGCACAGGCGGACCAGTGGTCGAATCTCCGAATCAACAGGATATCAAGCAGCCTGACTTGCAAAGCTTGTTTGTGTCTGAAAGTTACGTTATTCCCTGTGTAACAGTGTCAAATGTGAGAATAAAAAGGGAAACCGATGCTAATCGCACGAGGTTGCAAGTGCACATCTTCCATTTCCTTTTCAAATTAAGGCTGGTAACAGCAACCGATGGACTCAGCCAAGGGCCGAAGACTTCTGTGACATGGGTTGAACGAACCAAGACGTCGATAGACAGAAAAAATGATCAAAACTAGAATAACTTTCAACAACTTGTTGGATCACATGCAACAAACGGTTCGAGAGGTAATGTTTGTGCTAGACATACAGCGGGGACAGTGATAAAGAACATTGTAATCACAGATTTTTCGGAAAACCCGTAACCCGATGGATTTCTTAAGGTAAAGATGGGCACAGTAGAGATGTTGACCAGACGAACACCATGGGAAGGCAAACTTGTGGTGATAAGTACCAATTCCAGTTGAGTGCCCATTGAAAGCTACTCTGTCCTCGGTTCCTGGATGACTATCAGACTGTAGTCTTTATCTGAAAGAGAGTAAACACATGTTGGACAGCGCAGCTACAAAACCGAGAGGATTGAAGCAAAAGATAGAATTGTATCGTCATGTGAAAATAATACAACAGCTCAACCAAATAGGAGTCTTGTCAAAAGGAGGAAAAGAGCAGAGCGATTGCTGCTCGGTTTCCTGAGTACAAAGTTGAAAGTGAGATAGGTAAGATACAGCCACGTTTATAAGTAGTCAAACCTCCTTACTAAATCACAAACAAAGCAGCGTGAATGGTTTAAGCCATGCTAAATGACTCTGATTTAAATGATTGCACCGACACGTTAAAATAAATCAGCAAATCGCCTTAAAATAGCAGTATTCTGGTAAACAAAATAATCTGTGTAACCTTGTTAACCGGCCGGCGGTCGAGAGGATCACCCACCTGCTTTGTAATCTAAAGATCACCACTTCGAATCCATGTAGATATGGGCGATCTCGTAGTGTACTCAGCCCACGCGCGACCGGTGGTCGTTGTCCGCCGCATCGAGGCTGGACCTTAAGGTGGTGCGACAGTTTGCGTACCCATTCGACATTTACCTAGAATGGGTGGTGCCCCCGGGGAACCTTGAGAGCTACTTCTACCAGGTTGATCCTCCAGCTTGGGGGTTGTAAATATGATGGCGTCCATTTCTGTAAAACCGAATCGTTCATATCCGTTGCCTTGCGGACAGGCTTTTGAGCCTAGGCTGTTGTCGATGACCTTAATCAATCTACTATATAGGTCTGGGTGCTCTGGAAGTACCTATGCATACGCACAACAATGACTATTTTTTCAAAGTTCTACCACATTCTGCATCGGCCATCGTGCAGCTTCAAAAAGGTTGATTTATCTGCTGTCTACAGCAGGGCGGATAGATGAAAACATGCTACTACTGGCGCCTCCTTTCCTTCCCTTTAACTTGTTTCTCTAACTCCATCCCAACGCCCATTACTAGCCTTCCTTCTATAATACCCAGCTTAACTGACAGCAACCGCAATGCCATCGGAGTCATAATAAGCGGAGCTATGTTCCAGCATCACCCACTGAATACTATTCATCAACAGCTCCTAATAAGGCCACACTGTCCCGTTGGCACCCTAAGACAAATAGGTCAACACGTTGCACTAGCACACACGTTAGACATGCTGGGTATTGATGGGTGTCGTGTGTCCGAAACTAACATCAATGACCTTCACAGGGTTGATGGATTCTGCACCCGGCATGTCTTCTCGCTATTGGTTGCGCGCACCCGGAGACACTAGTGCAGCAGTCACTGGAAAAATGGAGTGAGCATCGTGAGTGATCGTTGGTTGATTGGATTCCCGTCAGCAGCCGTTTATGTGCAGTCCGTTTGAAGACATCATTTAAGGTCAATTCATAGAGTAGCACTAGACGCTGTTTGTTTGCGGTTTCCGGTTATGCCCCACCGACTGCAGTTCAGATGCTACAAAGGACACTTCCTACTGCGAACTGAACATGCTACTGCGCAGTGTTACCAGTTCATATATCATATGTCTTACAACGGAAATATGAATGCGCAAGCAGGCCATCTGTGATCTTCAGAAGCTTTGCTAGGTGATAAGTATGGACTTAACTCCGAACGAACGGAAAACGGCGAACAATCAGAAGACACCAACCGAGGCAAAGTTAGAAGTTAGGGTCTTCATTTCTCTTGGTCAAGTCATCGCTTGACCTCCCTTCCTCGTCTTCCATCCACATCTCAGCACCGTTACTTCACGCACCATGTTCTCTTGGCTCCGCCACGTGCTACGCATGCCAGCCCACCGACTCCCGCGACGTGCGTTGTTTGCGCGCCGGGGGTGTGGAAGGAAGATAAGAGGTGGGCAGGCGATAACTTGGTCGAGAGGAATGAAGGCCCTCACTTTGAAGCTGGCCTCGGTTAGAGCCTCTCGACTCCCTGGTTGGGGTCCGAAAGACGACGAACACGTTTGGCTGGATATACTTGCTGACATTACTAGGAGCCGACCTAAATGGCGTTCGTGCTGTTAGTCTCTTTCTCCCTCTCCATCCATCTTAGCCTCCCACTCCAAACACGATCACATTTCTTAGCATGTAATTTTGCGCAATTTTTGATAGTATCCGGCTGGTGCCTTTCCGGAACGATGCCCATCCGTTACTGGTAGCTCAGCTGGCATGCATCTGTTGCATTTGTTTTCTTTTATCTATTGCGGCACAGTAGCTGAGGTGTTTTCCACCCCTAGCTAAAGTGTATACTGATAATGACACCCCGGGAGTCGGTGTGTTGGTATGCGCTACAAGTGGCCAAGCTATACGAGACTGATGGGTGAAATAACGGCATTGAGCGGTACAAGCGCTCTTACTGCATCAAATGAGACGCGGAACAGGCTCATTGCTACCTCCAGAGATGAGCTAAATTGTGAAAGCAGTGATGGTCGAACGCAACAAGCCTCTTTACATCTGTCGATCTGATACGCCAACTTTCGTAACCGTACAGGAAGGTTAAACGGATCCACCGCAATGAGGTTGGGCCTTAAAGTAGTGCGATGGTTTGCATGCCTCAGTGATCCATTGAGCTGTGCTAAGTGGTGCTTTTTGCACCTTCAGAGCCACTCATACCAGATTAGGCAATGGTTAGATACCAGACAAACACAGTCTCCTAGTCCTCCAGGTTATGGGTCGGAGTGAGGGTGGCTCCTTATTCTTGAAAGCGGACCCCTTGTAGTCCACTGCAAAACCCGCTGCCTTGCGGCTAGGTTTCTGAACAAAAGACTTTGGTTGAGAGTTTTAGCCGTTCTCCTGTCTAGGCCTGGGCAACCTGACAATATCCTGCCAACGCAATACGACAAAAATGACCCTTCAAACTATGTCTTGATGACCTGGCCGTCGCAGATGATAATTAATGGCGTCCTATCCGCTGCATCGAGCAGAGTAGATAGGGGTCTGGATGCTGCTGCTCAGGCCTTCCCGTTTTCGTATCCCTCCTCTTATGCTTTTTCACCCTTATCGTACCGTTCCAAGTTCACTTGTATCCACACCGATTCCAACCCCAAAATTCTTGAACCTCTTCCACAACACCTTCATTAGCGTTTCTCTTCTAGTTTCAATTCACAAGCTAACGCAAAGCGTCATTCCTGCCCTATTGACAAGACCATGTCCAAGCAAGCGATCAAGCCCAGTTCATCTGCTTCTATTTGGAGCCCTCGATTGGCATGCCTCAACTTATGCACAGTTACAGATTGGTCAACAGACAGCACTTGCCCGAACATTAGAGACCCTCTCGATCGATATCCGCTGCCTATCTGCAACCCACCTACAAGACGCGGGCTCTGTGCTTTGCGATCCCCTTCATGTGACACTAGCAGTGAACTTTCATTGCGGCTATCCCGAGACGTTGCAGCTTCGAGCACCGGCCAAACTGGTGTTGGTATTGCCCTGAGTCCTCGGGCTAAAGCTGCTCTGGTTGACTGGATTCCAATCAGCAGCCGGTTGTGTGCGGTCCGTTTGGCTGGCTCGTTCAAAGCTTCGAAGTCGCGCGGGACTAACAGGGGTCTACTGGTCATCGCTGTCTATGCACCCACAAACTCTAATGATGAGTCGGTAACAGAAGACTTCTATCGCCAATTGAACGAGCTCCTTCGCCACAGAAGAAGCTCGGACACTGTTGTGCTGGCTGTGGATCTGAACGCTCAAGTGGGAAAACTTTCCACTGCTGAACAACAGATTGGCAGCCAACATGGTGTAGGCTCCCGTAATGATAACGGTGAGCGATTACTCCATTCGTGTGAAGATGCCCGCTTATTTCTTGCGAGCATTAAGCTCCGACATAGCACTCGCTGGAGGGTGACATGACACCCACCAACCTTAGACCAGTCATGGATGCAAATCGATCACATTACGATCAGTTACCGCTGGAAGCTACGTCCAAATTGTCGCTTGATTTGGAGCGCATGTGTTCACAATGACCATGCACTTGCATGTGCTGATCCGCGGGTGCGTTTTGGTGAGCGTCCTCGACGACCCTGTGAGTGCAAACACACCAGCCAACTAGCGACGCCAGATGTTCTGAACGTGTAGCGAAATACGCTGGCATTCGCCTTGAGCAAGCGCTCAAGGAATACCGCTGAAGGTCACCGGTCGCATTTTCATCAGATCTTAGTAGCAGCAGGTAAATGCGCATGTGGTAAATTCAATAGCCAGCATGGACATTGGTTCTCTTCGCAGTCTCTGGAACTTATCGATGCGTGCCGGCACATTCCAGCTGGAGCCGAACATAATGAGACTCGCAAGGACCCCAGACAAAATTCCGTGCTAGCCTGAAGATACCGCGAAACGTGATGGCCTCAATGTGTGAGAGATAGAAGTGGCCGCTGCCCGTGGTAACCATCAGAAGTTATTCCGTCTGATACAGGAAACAGGCATCAGGAGACCTGGTGTCATGGATTCAATAACTGACGAGTGTGGATAGCCTATTCACAACTTGTCAGAACGTTTAGAGCGCTGGGTTGAGCATTTAATCGGCTGGAATTGTTAGACTGCTCACCGGCCAGTGATAACCTTGTTCCCTGTGCCGTCCCATTGGATCCGCCTTCATGCTCAGAAGTCGAACGTGAGAATGACTATTAAATATAGCCGCGGGACCAGATGATTTTCTTCCAGCCCTCTTCAAATTGGAGGCCCTGCTCTAGTTGCTGATTTACCTGAGTTACTAGTGAAACTGTGGGAGCAGGAAACTGTTCTAACAGATTGGAGCCGCTCCGTTATTGTCCCGATCTTCAAGGGGTACTCACATTCTGTTACCGGGGCGAAGCAAGCAGAGTTATTCAAGATGTCAATCTCGGCAGAAAATCTGAAAGCCATTTTGCTTCAACAGCAGCAACAAGTCGAGGCTTCACAGTTGCGTATGATCAAGGCTTTCACTCGAACACTGCCACTCAAGTATATAGCCATCTCTTCGGAACAAATGTAGACGCTCCTTCAAGTCCAGCAGTCAATGTTTGAGGAAACACTGCGGCAATTGACAGAGATGCTGACACAGAAGTGAAACATACAAGCAGATTGCGAATTGGAACCAGAAATCACATCAGAGCACATTGCAGATGAATGTTACAAGTAGCTGAACTCGGGATTAGCTACCAAAAAGGTTGAAAATGTAAATGATAGATGTGAACTCTAAATCCGTCACACAACTAATGGAGGCTACAATGTGAATCAAAATGTGCCGAAACAAAAACCCCACCTCCCACTGCGATTATTGCCGCATTCCGCAAGGATCAAAGCGCATCAACAGGCCCTTTGTTGCTGGACAGAGAAAGTATCTGCGAACGGAGATGCAAGGATCTGCGACTCTGTGCAACTGTCCAGCTACACAAACCAACAGCCCCCAAAAAAGTGGCCATTGGGCACCTGAGAGGTATACAGCAGCATTTCGGAAAGGCCTTACAATATCAACGGATGACCAGGAGCTTTATCGCTTGAAAAAAACAGTTCTTCACCCGGTGAACCACTCGCTCTGGGACCCAAAAGGGACCTAATGTGTTTTGACCAGTGGCTACAAAATGAAACGAACTTGAAGCCACTGTGATGCAAAGATTGGATACGGAGGTCCGTCGTCGGAATGCAGCTAGATTTCAGGAGGAAGTCGTACGTCACTTTTCGCGAGGGAGGGGTTACCAGGGCCCGTCCATAGCAGCCATCGAAGCTAGCTCTCTCTCTGTCTGGAGCAGCCCGGAGAAGATTTGTGGTATGCCGCCTGTAGCCGATTGTCTAGCCAATGAGAGTAAGCCAATGGTATCGTTTTAAATTGAAGTGGACCAGTTAGAATGACGTATCTAGAAGCCCTCCGGTAAGCACACTACTTGATCAGCCAACAAGCGAGTGGTTGCGCATCTAGGAGTTGCTATCGTCAGGAACTTTCAATTAGGTCTTTGTTCATGAACTATTTATTTTGACGCCATATTATGCCTGTACATACTGTCTTCCGAGTGATCTACACAAGTTCCGCCAGAGGCATTTGTCTTCTGAATTGGAAAGTGGCAGTATCGTGACTAGAGTGGCTGCATCAGTTATCCGTACTGTCGGCGGAAACACAACACGTTCGGAATGCGGCAACCATAGAGGAAGTAGTCTTATCTCAATCGTCCCCAAATTGGTTTCCTCTGTCATCATTCGCAGACTGAGTAGCACTCGTGGAGGCCAGATTCGTGAAGAGCAAGCCGGGTTTCGTCGAGGTCGGGACTGCATCGATCACAGCTTTACTTTGCGTCAGTTGTTGGAACATCGTCACATATATTGGCGGGCCACCGTAGTCGTGTTTGTCGACAATAAAGGTGCCTTCTATTCGGTGGATCGATGTGCCCTTTTGGACAATCTGCTAAGGTGTGCCCGATAGATACGCAAATATTGTCGGAGCTCTTTACGCGTGCAACTCGGGCAGAGTGAGAGCTTACGGCAAGATGTCACCGCCCTTCAATATACCCAGGACAAGGATGCCCGCAGCAACTTGTCAGCAAGCGAAAACCTCTCAATGGTAAGCGAGACTGAGCGTGGGACGTCTGCGAGTGTTGGAAATAGTTCAAAGACACTGTGGATCACAAAGTCTGCTTTGTGCGGTAAGTCATACTTCCTTCAGTCAACAAGCAAGCGGTCATGCGAAGGGTGATAAAAAGCAGGAGGTTGGAAGTTGGTTAGTCTTGTGGAGCTCGCATAGTTCCGTGAAATTTGAGCAACACACGCATCCCTAGCAAACTCAGCAAACATCATCGGCAAGCGCAGGTTATCGCTCAGCTGCCCCATTGAAACCACTGTTATGTCAGTACACCTAAGCTTAAACCAATGACACTGCTGTATCCACCATCTCAAACCGCACTGAACCAACTGTTTCCTCAGGACATTGCTACTACGTGGCAACTAAGGTGCATCACTAACACTCCCCTTCGTCTACAGTTTATACCTTACACTGCCATGCTATCAAATTATAAGTATGATAGTATACGAAACATGCGTGCTTTTGCTGCAAAGGCACCAGCAGTACGACGGTACGCAGTAGCAACGTTCCGCTGCAGCGCAAGCACCGCCAGTTGCGAGTGGGTTAAGGATACTGCAAGGATCGCCAGGTCTCCTATGCAGGCTAAAACTCGAGACCTCCGGATTACAAAGCAAGCGTCTGATGCTCCCGACCACGGGCCGGTTGGCTGAGTCAGTAAACGAACTCTTGCTATCAATCAGTCTTTCCTCTATGGGTCTAGCGTATTGTCCACAATCTCAACTCGCTTACACTCACGTCCGGCCGCTAGATCTCTTAGGCCATGTCAGTCCGGATTCAATTGACTACTTCGCGCGTTCGGTACTATAAACGAAGTGGCGTTCGTGCCGTGAGTTTCTTTGTCCCACCCCATCCCTCTTAGCCTCCCCCTCCAACTATGATCTCATTATTTAGCCTTATATAATTTTGTATAGTAATTTTTTTTGATGCACAGTAGCCGGCTGGTAGCTTATCGAAACGATGCCCATCCGTTACCGGTAGCTCAGCCGGCTTGCGCCAGTTGCATTTTTTCTCATTTTTTTCTTTTATATCTTGCGGCACAGTAGCTGAGGTGTTTCCCACCTCTAGCTAACGCGTATAATGGTGATGATGGTGACTATAAGCAAAGAGCGTTTCGTCCGTTCCAACTAGAAGTCGAAACAACTAGGACGCGCTTTTAACAAAATGCAAAGTAAAAAGTCGTCGTAAAACAAGGGAGTTACGCGAAAGAAAAACAATCGAGTAAAAATTAAAAGGGAGCCATGGAACATACCCGGAGCGACCATGATTTCGTTCTTCTTACTCCGAATACGCAAGAAGGTTAGGTCATTTGAAGGATCTAAATCCCTCACTGCGGAGCGAGCCTTTGCCGTTAGCTGCTGGATGAGCCCACAATATTGCACAGTGGTGCTGTTGTCCAGAGAAGAGCGAATCGCGATGCCTGAAAAAATAGATCTGAATATGGACGGTGCGTGCCGATATCTCACAAAAAACCACCAAGACTAGACGATGGGATGGAACAGCAGAAAAAGTATTAGTTAATGTCATTAACCAGCAATATGCCATAGTTGTGATCATATCGGTGCAAGTGACGGCGAGCGCGCATATGCAAACTGTTTGAGGGCGAGGTGATGTATTGTCAAACGGACCAAGCAACAAAGCGTGAGGAAACGAGAAGAGCACCGGTGCCTTCGTAGGTTAGCTCACATCTGGTGAAAACACCACATGAGCAATGAGCGTACTCACCGTTTGTGGCACGGGAATAGCAAGTGAAACACGTAGTACCATAATCTCAAGCACAAGACTCCGGAGGTCGGGCATGCCTGCACACCGACTCCCGCAACAGGCACTACATGCGTGGCCGAGGTCTGGATGGAAGAAGAGGGGAGGCCAACCGATGACGTGATCAAGAGGAATAAAGTCCCTCACTTCGAAGTTGGCCTCGGCTAGAGGCCCCTGGTTAGGGTCCTAAATGGTGAACACGTTTGGTTGGACAGACGTATTGACATGAGGAAGAACAGGGCGTTTGTGTCGTGAGTTTACTTTTTCCGCGCTATCCCGCTTGGCCTCTCTCACGAACCACAACCTCGCCATTAGTGCTTAATGTGAAACAAAGCGTAATAATATTTTTACGTTACGGTTATTGCTCTTTTATGCCAACTGATTGTATTATTTTGCGGTACAATAGCTGGGGCATTTCTTATCCCTGGCTAATGCGTTGCGTAGAAATAAATGAAGCAGAAGGGAGGCCAATTCAAGTACGAGACTGAGTTTTGTGCGGGAAACAGGGCTAGCGCAAATTTGATACTGAGATGACCCGGAAGGAAAAGACACGATCACGTTGTCTAAAAAATAACTCAAAGATTGCGTACGTAAAGGGTTCAACGCAAGTTTAACAAGTTCCATTGAACCCTTTTCGTAGGATGTTTTCGAGTTAAATACCAAGAGCGTCTCTACAAGCAACATTGGATAAACACGACTAATAAATTATAACATGTCGGAACCAGAAGACATGGTTGGCGCGAACATGGTCGCATAGCTCGAAATCAGAGCCTTCGTTCTGGGGGTCAAAAAGCAGCTATCGGTACCTTTTAATATGGCCTGCAAGGCAAATATATCGTACACCACTCATAATCAGGTAAAAATGCATCACAGCACCACTTGCCAATAACATTCACCAACTGGAAAACTGACTTTTCCTGAGTTGGAACCCACTATTTAACGGTGACAGCCGCGTTCTTTTCGCAGACCGCATCGTCATTCTAACGGAACTCCGCCGCATAACCTTGACTCGGTTTTATTGTAGAACTCAGTCCTTCAGGGACAAGCGTTTATTCGGCAAAGACAGCTAAGCGAAAATTACAGCATGTTTAGCAAGCCAAACCATGATATAAATTGCAGGTGCAAGTCCATAACTAACGACCCTTCTGAGTCGATGAGATTTCTCCTTCGCTTCAGTTAAACAAACGATGAATCACTCACATGAATATCGTCCAATCCGAGTCAAGTAATCGTACCTATAAAGTCCGCCTCCCATTAGCTGTCTGGCACGCTCGGTTGGTCCAGCTACTCACTCTGATCTGATACTACCATCACATCCTCCCATTTTCGTGTTCTTGCCCCTCCATATGGCTATCCACCCCGTACACATTGCTACTCCGCATCGTCTTCACTGTATCTGCGACCGTGGTCTCATTGTCCCACGCCATCTGCCACTCCACTCTCAATCCACATTGTTGACTCCGGTGTCGTCTCAAATGCACTCGATTTCTTCTGAACGTTGGCCGTTCAACGTTTGTTCCGTATGACCTGGCATCGACCCCTGCAGTCAGCACACATTCCTTCCACCGCTCTTGACTATCGGGTAATGGTTGAATCCACACATCCTCTCCCACTGTTAGCTCAGGTAATACCCGTGCACCGCGGTCATAATACCGTTTCTGATTGGTCATCCTTTGTCTCAGGTTGTTCTGTAATTGTTCGTGCTGTGTCGAAACCGGGTGCAAAAGTGTGGCAGGTGCCGATATCAGAGTTTTAGTCCTTCTGCTGTATAGGTGCTGTACCGGGCTCAAACCGATATTCGTTGAAGGAGTGTTGCGATGCTCCAGTAGCATGAGGTACGGGTCCTCGCCAGTTGCTCTAGTCATTAATAACAGTTGCTTGGTCTGCTTCACCGCAGACTCCGCCTTTCCATTTGATTGACTGTGACATGGGCTGGTTTGCTGGTGCACGAATTCCTACTTGATTGCGAACGCCTGGGACGCACCGCTGGTAGAGTGGGGTACATTGCCAGAGACCAACTCCTCCGGTATACCGTGTCGCGCGAACTGACATCTGAGCTTGTTGATTACTGCCTCTGTGGTCGTAGTGGTGAGTAGATCGATTCCACTATAGTAATCTACCGTGAGTATGTAATCTTTCCTGTTATCACTGAATAGATCCAACCCCACTTTCTGCCACGGTCGGCCAGGGACATCATGTAGCATCATTGGTTCCCCCATTTGCCGGATTTCGAGTCATCTTTAATCCGTCATTCCTGGTCAAAAGATCAATTCTCTTGCTCGGTTAATGGTATAGTTGGCACCAAGGTGAGCGCGATGAACGTATTTCAGCATTTCTCCTAGGAGCGGAATCAGAATACGGCTTCCCTTGAACAGCAAACCATCATAGACAGAAAGTTCATCCAGAAAATTGAAGTAAAGCGTTAGTTCCTTTAGTAGCTGCTTCTTTGTCTATGGCCGTCCATTTAGAATAACGTCTCGCAAAGCTGACAGGGTTGCATCTTCCTCTGTGTGGCGCCTTATTTTCTTTAGGTGATCATCTGTCCCTGCCAGGTGCCGTACTAAGTTTACTGTTTCAACCTCTTCCGGATTATGCTCGGGTACCGACAGATGAGCACTTGACAGCGCATCCGCGATGAATATCTGTGCACCGGGCGTATACACAATATCCACGTTGTACTTCTGAAGCCGGATAAGCATATGCTGAAGGCGACGATGAACGACGTGCAGCGGTTTCCTGGCTATCGACAAGCGGCTTGTGGTAGGTATACACAGTTGTCATTCTTCTGAAAGTATACTCATTGAAACGCTCCATGGCATAGACTACCGCAAGCATCTCCTTCTCAATCTGCACAAAGCGCTGCTCGGTAACGGTGAGTACTCGACTGCGGAAATCCAAAGGTTTTACATCCTGTAAGAAAACAGCCCCTATTCCGTCTTGGCTACTGTCACACTGTACCTCCAAGGGTAGCGCTGGATCGTATTACCCGAGTACAGGCGCGCTGATGAGGAGGTGCTTATTAGTTTCGAATGCGGTTTCCTGTTCTTTTCCCCAACATCACTTTACTCCTTTGTGAGTTAACTTCTAGTCGGCATCATGATATCAGCGAGTCTTGGCATAAAACGGCTCAAGTAATTCACATACTGTTTAAGCGATGGATTCCCTTCACATAATTAGGAGGCGGCATCTCACAAATTGCCTGAATTTTTCCTGGATTGACCCTGACCCCTTGTGTTGTTAGCAAATGCCCATGGAAAATTACCTCGTCTTTTCGAAGTTCAATTTTTTCACGTTTAAGCTTGATGTTCTTTTGCACACAACGCTGTAAGAAACGGTGGAGACTAGCGTCATGCTCTTCTTCTGTCGAGCCATAGATCACGCATGTTACACCATCTAAATCGTCTACGACTTGCCCCAATCGCTTTTGAAAAAGTTCACTCGACACCTTCAAGCCAAACGGTAAGCGCAGCCAACGATAACGCCCGAGCGGTGTTGCAAAGGTAGTAAGCAAAGCGGATTCATCATATAAAACTACGTACCAGAATGTTGAAGTGAGGTCTATCTTCGTGAAACACTTAGCTTTGGCTAAACGCAGCAAAATGTCTTCTAAGGTAGGTAGCGCGTAATGCTCTCTACACAAAGCCTCATTCAACGGTTTTGAGTCAATACACACACGCAGTTCTCCCATCCTCTTCGTACTGATTGCGACCTGACTAACCCAGTGGGTTGGCTCGTCGACTTTGGCAATCACATCCTCTCACTAATTTGCTCGATTCAGCGGAGAACCTGTCACGCAGTGCAAATGGAACTCTGCTAGTCGGTAGCGCTGTCGGTCGTATCAAAGGATCTAAGGACAAGTGGGCGGTTTCTTCAAACTTTCCCAAACCAGGGCTAAACGCAGACGGATACTGGTCATTAAAATCGGTTTCTCCATGGCAAACATGCACAAAACGAGCATGATTAAAAGCAACAATACCCAGACTGGATCGAATCAATGCCGAAAATCGGCATGAACTCCTCCACAATCACAAACTCTAGTCGATATAAAATAATAAATAATAATAATGCGTCAGCTGTATGCCGTAACGGCGCTTCGCTGCCGCGCGACCACCACCAGTCGCGCGCGGGCTGAGTATACCGCGAGGACGCCCACCCCTAAGCGGCTCCATCTCTTGGGTTAACCATTTCGATTGTAGCTGAGTCCTTCAGATGAAGTCTGGAACCATTACACATATGCAGGTAATCTTGATCGGATCGAATACACACTCTGAGACTGTGCTTCCTTGATAGAATGTTGACATTAGCACCTGTGTCTAACTGGAAACGTACGGCTTTGCCCTCGATCAAAAGACTTGCGTAGGTATATTTTTGCGGTTCTCACCATGACACCTTGCCAATTGAATGTTCTGCAGCTGCGGGGAATTGTCACGAACGACCGCCCTCATATTGGTTGAGTGACAGTAACGAGCAAAGTGGTTTCTTCTTCTTCTTCTTCTTCTTCTTCTTCTTCTTCTACATCTGGCGCATTTCCGTCCCCACGCCGGACACTGTTTGCCAGTGCTCGGATGTTGTGTGGCGCAAAATTTGCAGATGTCTTGCCTCACGGTAGTATCTATCGTTGCTTCGCTTCCGGAAACGACACACAATTCTGCATCTGTT